GATATTAAATACGTTTATAATATTGTGAAACCATCATCACTGTCCATCCCCATAACTCTTTTCGTTTTGTAAAATTGAAACTCTATACTCATTCAACAATAATTGTCCATCCCCTCTCCTCCTAGCTCCTGGCAATCATCATTCTACTTTCTGCCTCTACGACTTTGACCACTTTAAGTTCCTCATGTAAGTTGAATCATACTGTACTTGACTCTTTGTGGCTGGCTTATTTCACTTCGCATAGTGCCCTCAAGGTTCACCGATGTTATAGCATGTGTCAGAAGTTCCTTCCATTTTATGGCTGCATAATAATCTTCATTGTATGTATATATCACATTTTAAAAATCCATTTATCCGTTGATGGACACTTGAGTTGCTTTCATGTTTTAGCTCTTGTGAATAATGCTTCTATGAACATTAGTGTACAAATATCTTTTTGAGACCCTACTTTCAATTCTTTTAGGTGTATACCCATAAGTGCAATTGTTGGATCATATAGGGTAACCCTATTTTTAATTTTTTGAGGAACTGCCATACTGTTTTCCACAGGGTCTCTACAGTTTTACATACCCACCAACAGCGCACAATGGTTCCAATTCCTCCACACCCTCACCAACACTTATTATTATTATTATTTTGATAGTAGCCCTCTTAGTGGGTGTGAGTGGCATCTCATTACAGTTTTGATTTGCATTTCCCTAAAAATTAGTGACGCTGAGCATCGTTTCATATGCTATTGACTATTTGTATATCTTCTCTGGAGAAATGTCTACTTAAGTCCTTTGCTTATTTTTTAATTAGATTGCTTTTTGTTGTTATTAATTTTTAGAAGTTCTCTCTATATTCTAGACATTAACCCCTTATCAAATATATGACCTGTAAATATTTTCTCCCAAATCGTGAGTTGCCTCTTTACTCTGCTGATATTGTCTTTCGACGTACAAAAAGACATGTGATAATTACTGTGATAACTGATCAATCATATGTCTTCTTTGGTGAAGTTTCTGCTTGAATCTTTCCCCTATTTTTAAAATTGGGTTGTAGTTTTTCTTATTTTTGAGTTGGAAGTTCTTTATATGTTTTGGATACAAGTGCACTGTCAAATATGTGACTTCCAAATATTTTCTCAAGATCAGTGTCTTGCTTTTCATTCCCTTAAAAGTGTTTTTGCAGAGGCAAGTTCTTAATTTTGCTACAGTCAAATTATCTTTTTTGGGGGGAGTAATCATGCTTTTGTATCACATTTAAAAACTGTCTGCCTTACCTTTTATTTTAACTAACTGGTCATACATTAGAGAAGGAAGGATTTCTCTCTGTATTACTGATCAAAAAAGGTTTAAAGATAGAATAAGCCTCACTATGACATCACGAAATCCTTGATTATAGCACATAGAGCATTTGCTTCCATTAACCATCTTCCTATGGGAACCGTATTGTTTTATATTTCCAATTGTTAAAAATCTGTAACCAGATTTTCCCCAGGCTTCTCAATAGGGATAATATTATCAAAGTTAGTAAGACATATATTTTAAGCACTGATTGTGTTATATTAAACATTGTGCTGAATAGGGAGGTTATGTTTTGAACAGTCATTTTATAAAAAAGGATTCGGGGCTCACTTGAATTTCGTTATGCAGGCATTTGAGCTCATCCTTAGTTTTGCTTACATTTATGAGGTTATGTGAAGTGAAAAAGCCACATCAGCAGTTTAAAAAGTGGTGTTATCTTTCACAGGATAAAACTGCACATAATCACAAATCCTATGACTTCCTCTGCAGGTTTGGATATCTTTTTTGATTAAATAATCTTGCACGACACATTGGTGGTTTTCACTCTTAAAATACAAACTTAAAATCTTTATGGTAAAAGAGCAATTCCTGGGACTTCCCTGGTGGCTCAGGGGTTAAGAATCCACCTGCCAATGCAGGGGACACGAGTTTGATCCCTGGTCCAGGAAGATCCCACATGCCGTGGAGCAACTAGGCCTGTGCACCACAACTACTGAGCCTGCGCTCTGGAGCCCGCGAGTCACAATTACTGAGCCTGCATGCCACAACTACTGAAGCTCACGAGCCTAGAGCCCATGCTCCGCAACAAGAGAAGCCACCGCAATGAGAAGCCTGCGCACCGCAACGAAGAGCAGCCCCCACTCGCTGCAACTAGAGAAAGCCCGCGCAGCAACGAAGACCCAACGCGGCCATAAATAAATAAATAAATAAATAAATTTATTTTTTAAAAAAAAGAGCAATTCCTCTGAGCAGGCAGGGGACCATGACTTCACCTCCCCAGGCTGCGCCCCTTTGAGGACAGCTCCCAGTGAATGCTTCCCGGTCCCCGCTCTCTTTCTGCCCTCACATGTATGGGGTATGAATGTGAGGATGTATGAGGTATGCTCCTCCAGAAGGAATGACCTTGCTCCACTTTTACTGTTTATTCTTATCTTTTATCGGTACAGTAGAATTTAAAGTGCATTTTGGAAAAAGGCTGTCAGTCGAAAAAAGACTATTTTGGCATCCAATTTTATTACATTCCAGTACATGCAGTAGTATGAATAAATGGCTAGAGACTGCTTCCAAATGATGTGCCTTGTGCAAAGAGCTGGTAAAATAAAATGCAGAAAATGTCATTCTTCAACTCAAGGTTCACTAGGATGATAGGCCAGGCCTTACCTGCCAATTTTTCCTTTAAATTGTCACTTGTCATCACTCATGCCATTCCCCTCCCCGCTTCTCCCAGTCCTGACCTAGGGAACACAGCGTCCTGCTTTCATTTCTCTGGATCACACATGGACAAAACCTTCTGCCTTTGGCTACCTTTAATAAGAGTGAGATCTTCTGGAATTTACAAACTAGACACACAGAATAATGGTCAATAGCCCAAATATTAAAGGGCAAAGGACACCCAAAATTCAAAGAAGGAAAAACAGAAATGAACACAAGGACACACCTCCAAACATAAAGAAACAAAGGAGAAAAGAAAAAACATAACAAGATATCCAAGTCCTCTATCAAAATAGAAACATCTTAAATCATCATTTTAATGCTGTGCTTATGGGGTCAAGAAGAGCACGCTCTTTGCACCCTTAGAGGGTGTGTGAATTGATATTACTTCCCTTGAAAGCAATTTGCTATACTGTGAAGAACCTTGAAAATGTTCACAGCTTTTGACCCAGTAATTCTTCTTGAAAAAGGCTCTGCTAAGAAAATGATCAGATATTTGCACATCTTTTCGCAGATGGTCGGTCAGTGTGGCTTTATTTACACTAGTTCATTCTGGAAACACCCTAATATTAAATTAATGATAGTACAGCCATATGTTCAGATACCATGTGACCACAAAAATCTTGATTTTAAAGGACTCAGAGATTACTTCTCAATATAATGTTAAGTGAAAATATGCTGATTTTAAAATATATTGGAAAGAAGTAAACCAAAATATTAAAAGCCATTTTCTCAAGATGGAGAAATTATGAGTGATTTTAAGCTTTTCTTTCCAATTACTCCCTCAGAAGTTTGGGTTAACTTTGTAATCAGACGATATAAAGTATTAAAAAACGGAGACTTACAAGAAAAATGTGAAAAGTGCAAAGCCTGCTCAGGTTATGAAAACATACTTCTGAATTTACTGTGCCTACCTAGGAATAAAGGCCTGGCTGTATCTCACCGCTTCAAGACCCCCTCTCCAGAAAATGCTTGGGGCTCTCTCCCCTTCCTTGGTCCCATTCCTTCCAGAGGAAGTGTTTTGTTGTAAAAGTAACAAATGCTCATTGTCAAACCTCAAACAGTGGGAAAGTATATAAAATATGAATAGTAAATCCCCACCAACTTTCTTTCCCCACTTTTTCTTTTCACATTAAAAACGCTGGGGGATAATCTGCATGTAACAATGCACACCAATATTTATAAACAGTTCCATGGCTCTTGACAAAAGTCAGGATACAGGGCATTTTTCACCACCCCCAAAGTTCCTTTGTGTTTCCTGGAGTCCATTTTCTCCCTATCCCCAATCCTAGGCAAACATTCATTTGCTTTCTGTCACTGTAAATTAGTTTTGTCTGTTGTAGAATTTCCTACCAATGGAATTACACCTAATGCTTACAACAATGTTTTTGAGATTCATCCAAGTTGTGTGTCATGGGTAGGTAATATTCTATTGTACAACTATTATAATTTATCTATCTAGTCACAGAGTGACTTCACTGTAATTACGTTATAAGGCCACAGATTCATTACTACAATGTGATAAATCATGTCCCCAAGGGTCAATACATTAAACATCTCTTATATAGAATCCCTAAACCTAAGTCTTGTCTTGGATGTATGACAACAATATCACAAAGGGGTCAGAGCATAATGAATAATGATTGTGAAGCAAGCATTCATTTTAGACATTTATGGATTCCAACCATGTGCTGTGATCAAGAAACCAATGTATTTGTCTTGACATACTACATTTAAAATCTGAATTACACATTTCATAAACTATGGATTTGCCAACTTTTTTTCAGCCATTCTGAATTAATAATAATTAATGTCATTAACATAAACATCTGAGTAAATGAATATTGCATTAACTTATCTCAAACCTAAAAGGTAGTATTTAAGCAATTTTATATAAAACTCCTTTCAAAATACTTTCCTTTAAAAAAACCCCACAATTATAATGCTGGCAAGGACATGTTGAATTTTATGGAGATCCTATTGCACCAAAAATATAGGAGGATGAACCCCAAATATAATATTGTAATAATTTCGCAAAGATCTTGTATGATTAAGATAATTATGAAACTGGTTTGATGCCAGAGTAAGAGACGGGAATTATTTTGAATGGGGTACTTAACCTGCCGTAGAATGAACACAATTTTATTCAGATTATCAGTAAGAATGTGAAGAAATTATTGATATATATTTGGTGCTCTCTACCCTTCATGGAAATGAAACGGCCAGCCTGGGCACTGCGAGACAGAACCTTTGCCTGTGGCTTCTGCGCTCAAAGCTTACCTTCCTGACTCAAATGTGAACCATGTTGAGTCCCGCCCGTATCTCCTCAGTGAGCTGAGAGGCCACATCACCAGCTTGACCTTGGCATTGTGGATATCCCAGAGATAGATATTCTCATGAGTGATCTGCATTGTGCATTCGCCATAAATGTCCAGATTTGGTGTCGGCATAAGATACACATTGAATCGCTCTGCAAAGAAACAAGGAATGGAGAAAATGAAGCCAAAAGAGGTGTAACTTTTTATGGCAGCACTGTATGAATTTGTATACCTGCCTACAGCCTTCAGAAAGTGTTACTGTGTCCCTTGGTCACATCAATATATACTGCGAAACACTACCTTTTTCTATTGTATGGGAAAAGGAGTTAGAGTAATTCTTAATCATTAATCCATTCACTCATTCTTCAACCTTTTGTTGCAAGCATTCTCTACGGTGGGGATTAAATGGTTAAATTGTACAGTGGGAACATACCTCAGGGCAAAAAGCTAATTGGAGTCTCTGCCCAAATGGCGTAACCGTCTGCTTCTTCCCATAATCTTAAGTGGATGTCATAGAAATCATTTCTGCGATGAATGTTTTCTTTAACTTACACAAAAACTTACTGAATTTTTACCTTTGAGGCATGAAGTATTTAACGCCCACTCAGACTGACTCTCAAAGCACAGAGTATTCATGGTCAAATTCAGCTTATGATAATGGCAGATATTCATGACTGCCTTCTGGCAGAACTTGAGACATTGTTTTGGTATGCAAAATGAAAGCACGTAACTGTTTCATTCCTGGATATTTTGAAATTGAAAATCTGATTATTAGGCAATGATCCCAAACCTCGCTTTATAACTTTTCATGTATCTCAAAGGTTACCACAAAATCCTATAGCCCCTGATCCCCATTAAAATGCATTGGATGCACTTTATTTTGAAAAATAAGGTTAGTTGGTAAGTTCCAGGAAGTAAAGAACTTGGTATGACCTACAAAGTGTCCTACAAAGTATCCTTAGTTCCTAGCACCATATTCTTGGTTTATAGTAAATGATCAATAAATATTAGTTAATTGTAATGAATGAAATAAATATATCCCACGATGAATATGGGCTGCAAGAATTGAGGAATTACAAAAAAATAATGAGTCGTGATAACAAAAAGTTTAAGATACATCTTTGTGAGTTTGAATTTGATTGTGAATAGTGCTTTAAAGGCAGTGCTGTTGCATGAATTATTCTGAGAGGCATAATGCTGCAGCTGCAGTTTGTAAAGGATTGAGATGTTTAGAAATGTGCTATCATCCATCATGATGCTACAATCTTAAACACTGTATGTTTGCTGGTACTAAGCTGGAATTGTCTGTATAATAGAAAGTATCTTTTCAGTGGCAGGTATTTTGTAAAGCAAAGATTTTCTGATGCAAAATCAGTTATATTTAACTTAAGCACGACAGCTTGAAACTTAGTAACCATATGGTCAATATTTATGTTCAAGTGCCTAGATATTCTGGGACCAAAAATAATCTAATGATTCAATATTCTACTTAGGTTGTTGACGCATGAAAGTAATATGTATATAGATTTCACAATTATTTCCCAAAGAAAAGGCAAAACGAGATAAATTCTATAGCTGAACAACGAAGAACATTGTCCCATTAATTATGTGCAATAAAAGGCTGTATCTATATCTACATAGACACATACATATTCCATAAACCTTAAAACTCTTGTGTGCAAGTATCTACATGCAGCATTAAATACATCCCTCACTTTCCCAGCACAGTTCCCTCTCCAATGGGATTACAAGTAAATCAAAAGGGTATGATCTAATATGAGAATATAAATGAAACTTGGACCCAACAGAGTGACTCAGGGCTATAGTTAATGCCTGAAGAGCAATATTCTTTTCTTTGCTCAAGACACTTCGGATGAAGTTCAGCTTCTACATTTGGAACTAACCATGTGTCAGTGGCATCTGTTGTGCATAGGGAAAATATTGTCATTATAGAAGCGGAAAGAGAAACAGTCCTCTAAATTCTTTCCTTTCCATCAATCCTGGAGCCTGAAGAGAGCATTGGAAGACTCACTGCCAAAATGCCAAGAAATAACAACACTTTTTAAAAAATGCTGAGATAAATAAACATCATTAAACAATCTTACTGTTGCTTAAGACTGCACTGACCCTTGATATTCACACCCATTGTTTGTAACTGAAAAAACGGAGCATACAAAAAAATGGTCCTGACATGGAGCGTCCTTCAAATGGATGTTCCGTGAAAGGTTGTACATAATCTACAGAGTGTTTCAGAGGACCCAGAAGAACCATAACGTTTTCACAGAAATGTCTGCGTGCTCTAATGTTAGCAGATAAAACCTAACAGTAATAAACACAGAAAAAGTACAGTCATCACAATGGCCATTGGAGAAAGCTGGAAAATAATACGTGAATTTATTATGAGTCACATGACATAGGGCTCTACACACCAAAGTCTTTGAGGCGCATTTATGAACAAATTCAAAGTGATGGGATAACTCCCCTAAGGAGTCCTGCCAGGGCCACCTCTAGACAGCACAAAGCAGGTGAACCTTATCTGCATCCCTTCCCTCTGGCCTGCCTTCTACTTTCCCACTTTATTTTTTTTAACCAGGCAACTCAAGTAACCCCTTCTTGCTATGGTTTAGAATGCTCCACTCCTACCTTCTTTTTGATGCTATTTCTTCTAACTTAAGAAAGGAATTACCCTAAACAATTTTATTTTCAATTTTTAAATATTCAAAATTTATCTTCCTCTAATGGCTAATTTCCAAGAATTTGCGATTCAATGAAAACGTAGGCTAATTAATCCAGCAGAAAACCAGGCACATAAAGATAAGGGCAGCACATCAAGTCATCTAGCAAATTATACTTCTTTGAATTCCATTTTAATGGAAGGAAGGTTTCTGCATTTGCTGTGAAGAAATTATTTTATGCGCTTAGTAACATAAAACACATTGTTTTACTAAAACTTGCTATGTTTTCCATTGGACCATTTCAATATGAAATAGTTAAAACTGGTTCCATTAAAATGACTTTTAAAAATATTTACCTCTGTGAAATAATTCTATCAGGCAGGTTTTTTAAACCAATCTCTGATCATGTCACCTTTTTATTTAAGAAACTGCGTTTGGGTTTTACTGCCTAGAGTACTGGTTTTCAGGTTTCAGTGTGCATCAAAATTACCTGGAGGGCTTGCTTCAATACAAGATGGCTGGCTTGCCTCCACCGTTATTGTTTCTGATACAGTAAGTCTACCCCAGGGCTGGATAATTTACATTTCTACTTGTTCCCAGGAGATATTAATGCTGCTGCTCTGGGGACCACACTTTGAGAAGTGTCGATTTGTGAAACTCATTTAAAAATATTGCCAAGGAAGTGGCAGCATCTGAGAAACCATGAGGGATGCTTTTGAAAAGTGATGCTATGTTCCAGTAGAGCAAATCTGCACATTTTATTCAAAATTGTTTTCTAATCTCTGCTCAAATCAATTAATCCTATCTCAACTGACTCATGACTGACTTGTCAAGAAAGAGTTCTTATGCCAATTGGAATAAAGAAGGGAGAGAGGCATAGAAAGAAAGGGGGTATATGAAAGATAGTTTACAATTCAGCAAGATATGTATATTCCAAGTATGTCCTTTTGAGATCATCAACAATAACAATAAAAACACTATAAAGAAGCACTAAACAGCAGAGCTCCAAGTAGCCAAAAGAATTAGAAAAGAAACTAGCTGTCTAAATAATGATAATAATATCCTGAAACATGAATAAAATATAAAGTCCTGTGAAGACTGGTGAATGTGTGAAGAAATAAATTTTTGAAAGGTTATGTAAAAAGTATTAGTTTTAAATGTGTTCACACATATAAACTATAGAATTCTAGAGTGAAAAATCCCAAACACATTGCCCATAAAACTGTATTTTGGTAAAACTTAGGTTTGTATAATGGCTGATAGATATATGAGAAAACATAATTTTATTTTAAATGGCCAAAACAATAAGGTGAAATATTTATAAGATGAATTGTTCTGTCCAACAAAGATGCTTACTGTTGTTGAATCTGCAGTTGCACTTACCAGGGCAGTTTTACTCTAGGGCTGGATTAAGAGGTCCAAAGGAAGAGACCATGCTCCAAATGGCCTTGACACAGGGTTAAGGTCACAACCACAAGAACAGTCTCGAGGGGGCTACAGAACAAGGTTTGGTCAAATTGAATTGGACAAGATCTGGCGAGAAAGGGGAGCTACACTCAGGAGAAATGGTCCTGGAAAAGGGATAGTGAGACCCCAGGTGATATGTGGGAGACCCTGAGAAGGACGGAAACCTTCCCTTCTCAGCCAGGGAGGTTTTACATAGATCTTGTTTAGGGCAGGAACTAACCCAATATAATATTAGCTGGAGCCTGGCAAGTGCAGGTAAGTGGAGCTTACAGCTGCAGCAGGAAGCAGAGGATCACTGATGAGGTTTCTGACATGAAGCAAAATACCCTCCAGTGACTAGAAATAAATGAACAGAAAACAAAAGGATGATGAGCTCTTCAACCAGTTTCTTGGTAATTTCCATCTTGTAACAGAAGAGATGGAACACTGGATTTAAAGGAGAACCATGCTAGGGCTTCCCTGGTGGCGCAGTGGTTGAGTCCGCCTGCCGATGCAGGGGACGCGGGTTCATTCCCCGGTCCGGGAGGATCCCACATGCCGCAGAGCGGCTGGGCCCGTGAGCCATGGCCGCTGAGCCTGCGCATCCGGAGCCTGTGCTCCGTAACGGGAGAGGCCACAGCAGTGAGAGGCCCGCGTACCAAAAAAAAAAAAAGGAGAACCATGCTGAAAAACAGACATATCAGCTCAGCTAAGTTTCCTTGGTAATAAATTTGAAATATTAAAAAAAAAACAGACTGGGCTTCCCTGGTGGCGCGGTGGTTGGGAGTCCCCCTGCCGATGCAGGGGACACGGGTTCGTGCCCCGGTCCGGGAGGATCCCGCGTGCCGCGGAGCGGCTGGGCCTGTGAGCCATGGCTGCTGAGCCTGCGCGTCCAGAGCCTGTGCTCCGCAACGGGAGAGGCCACGGCAGTGGGAGGCCCGCGTACCGCAAAAAACAACAACAACAACAACAAAAACAACAACAAAAAACAGACTTCTGGAATTTATGTATTGAATAATTTTGTGAATCTA